AGTACCTTGTAGACTTTTGAGTGTCTATATCTCTTTATTGGGATGCATTTGTAAATTGTGTTTGTATATCAGTAGTTAAATACATTTACAATCTATGCTGTATTGCAATACTCCACCAGGCTCAGGTGCCTCGTTAAAGTTGTTGTAAAAATAGCTTCCACAATCTTGAAAATAATCAATTATCTTATTCCTTGTATATTGTCCAGAGTCACGCAACATGCGCCAGAAAACACAGGACTTAACCTCCTCTCAAAATAAAGAAAATGAAAAGGAAGGGGGGGAGGAGGGCGGGGACGGAAGTTTGGGGCTGTATTTGACCCTTTTCAGACATCGCTGGCCGCATGCGCCAAATCTGAAAAATGGCAGGAAAGGGAAAGGCGCCACTCTTGGCAGCTCTCTCGTCCACTCAGTCTCTCAGACAGTGCTGGTCTGCGTTGACTCCTCCGCTATTTTTGCGGCTTAGCTTCATAGTCCCGCCTCACCACTGCACAGCTGTTTAATTGCACAAATAGCAGCAAAAATGGTTCAAATGCAAGATTTTATACGCAAACTCATGTTTACAAACAAACCATGGCGCCCCTAGCGGACGCCAGCGGCGCCGCGCATGCGCGATGGAGTGTGGGCAAGAAGCTCGCCGTCGCCCATAAAGAAAGCCATTGAAATACGATGTTGTCGGCACCGGTGTGAGTCCCCCTGCCCTTTTTCGCGTTCGAATTGTTGATTCGACGTCTTCCTGGCAATGTCGGACTACTTGAGCGGCCTCGGAGAAATTACCGAGGCTTGTTACACAGCAAAATTTCGCGTGAATAATCTGCCATCCGGCGATTCATTCCGCGTGGACGCCGCGGAATATACGCTAAAGCCTGATTCGCAGGATGAGATTTCGCTCGGAACTTTCAGTCGCGACGTCGCTCAGGCTGCAAAAGCCCGAGCGAACCGTAGCTGAGATGATCGACGTCGATACTGAAAATCGCAAGCAGAATCGGACCAAGTGAATTATGCATAACAAGTCGGTCATGGTCACTGGTAACAATTATCAACATCTCCTGTGTCCACTCTTTACATCGAGCCTGCTTACCAATCTTCAAACTTAAGTCTTTTGCGGCGTGCACTAACTTCTTATCGCAAGTACCGGGCCAACATTTGGTATACGGGTGTCGTCTAAACGAGCAGACGACAAGCAGAAACGTTTCAAAGAGTAGACGATAGTTCGAACCATCAGGCGGCCGTTTGAACTTGAAGAGGCACTGAACGTAGTCCGCAGGTGGTCCGTAAACTTGACAGTTTTCCGGCGTTCATGTTAAAACAAAACAAATAAATCTGATTACCACAAGTATCCGTGAATTCAACCAAAAAGTGCTTCCCGCCCAAGCAATCGTGGTCCGACGGCGTCTCATTTTCCCTTTTCACGGCACATATCCACGTTCTCGGACGAACCGAGCACGCTAAAACGGACCTTCAAACTTTTCTCGACTCTTTTAACACAGCCCCAGTCGCAGCATTTTGTTGAGAAGGCAGGTTGTCCGATTCCATTAAAAACAACGCAGGAATACACGTCTCGCATGGGGGCTTCTGCCCACAGCACCAGACCGGAAGTGCGTCCGACGCGCCACCACCGCGCCATGAGGTAACAGAGTTGAGTTTGTGTATAGAGTTCCAGCAGCCTTTTGCTGGTGGTGCACGAAAGCACCAGATGTCAAACACCCCACCCTTTTTGCCCCACTTTTAAAAGCCCCCGTTTCAAAAGCCCATGCCGCGAATTCTCTGCGTCATGTGGCCGGCTTCTCAACGTGACGGCGGGGAGATTCTGCATTACTTATAGCGATTTTGTTTCACGGCACTCATACCAACGCGTGCCCACTCGCAGAGCGGAGCGAGTTCGTTTCACCCGGCACTACACAGTGGTTGTACTCTCCGAGTTCGTTTCAGAGCCGGTACCCCACGCGTGCATGCACTCGCTGCACCGAGAAAATCGAGCATGCGACAAAATGCTATCCCTTCATGCCTTGCTCCGGCAAAAAGCGTGAGCCGACGAGCAGACGACGAGGGTTCGTCTTCTAGTACAATGTGTCATTCGTACAGCAAAACCGAAAGGAAAAAAGTAGATTTTCTGATAGAAATTGTGTCCCGCGGGCAATGGAATCAAACACGAGCTTGAATTGTGAGCGTCTGCTACTTCATAAAGGAAGCAATTGACAACTCGTGCTTTATTTGCAAGTTTTTAGTCCCTCTGTTGCATTACCGATGATGAAATATACCAGTTTGTAAAGAAATGCTCAAAACAAACACATCAGCGGCCCCCGAGATTATCGCCAGCCGTGTGCGGGTGACAAATCGAACATTCGTCGACAAAGATTCCCAGCAGAAATTTGTGACTGCCCAAAGAGCATCCGAGAAAGCTAAACATAGTGACTTCACCCGAGGTCTGAGCAACACCATCATGTTTAATATATACCTACGTCAGCTACCTTGCCCCGTCGTATTTTGTCTCAGAAAGCTCTCGTTTTCGACGCCCTCACCAACGCTAAACTCTGATCCACCTGTAACTACGATCGAAATCGAAAATTCCACGAAACGTTTTGCTGGATATTCCAACAGACTGGTTTAGGCCATACCCTTTCAGTGGTTCACGTATAATACCATGCTCAAATGAATCAAGCTTCTGTGCGGACAGCATCATCTTTGCTCTCCAGTGTGAACTCCAGCTACTTTGTAGTCAACTGGCTGCAAAAATGTTCGGCGTCTGTAACCATCTCTACGACAGCCGAGTTGCTTGAAGTCGTAGAAAATAAAAACTACAGGTTGCAGCGACCAACGTGTATCTTGGTAGTGACTGCTCTCTCGCATTCCCACCCATCGACGTCGAACAAAAAGGCGTTACTTTCGGTCTGAGGTCGTAACTCTTTCTACAACATAGATGGAGGCCGCATCGGTCTTCTGCGCTCGGTGCACTTGGCAAGTTCATTCGAGGCCAGTTCGCCGTGCGAGACTCTGCGAGTATGATGGATTTGGGAGGCAACTCGAATGGTGCCAGTGCGTGTGAAACAAACTTGCTATGAAACGACAGTTAGTGTGCACGAGACGTTGTGTAACGGAATCATGTTGTACCCGGTACTCAACTAAAAAATAACCGAATAAGGTTCTCCATTCTTTAGGCATGTGCTATACACAGTCAAGTCTTGCCACATGAAAAGTACCTTCCCCCCCCCCCCCCAAATCAAAAATATCAGTTACTGGTAGAACACAAAGCGTGCGAAATGGATTCAAGACTTACGGCAAAAGATCCCTGACAGAACACCTTAGCAAGCAACCATGAACTCCCCCATTTACAGGGCCAACTTCATTCATAAACGAGCTGAATTCACAGAGACATTGTTTCTAACATAGAGCTCCTTACTTATTGGTGGTGCAGGCGAGCCTTCGCGACATCAAGACCGTCCAGATTTCACCTCGACCGAGGCTTGTTCCGATCGACCCGCCAGGTCCGTAGCTTCCGCCGTACTGGCATGTTATTCGATCACGGATTCCTGGCCCACCCAGTATTTCTTGCTTCACATACTAAGCTAAGTGGCGCCACCAGAGTAATAGCTCAGGTTTGAACAATGCAGCCACCACAGCCAGGCATACCCACTCTCCCTTGGTTCAGCCGCTAGATAACGCCAAACCAAACAGCATTGCAGGTTGCCTATACAAAGGTTCCCGACACCGCAAAGACAAAAGTATCTCAGTATATGCATTTTATACCTCAAAAACAAGTATCTCAGTACTTGTATCCGGGAATACCTTTTCGAGTGTCCCTGCCCAGCTCTGCCCTAAATGTCGCTTTTTCATGTCGTCCTCCTTTAGCACACGCTTCTCGTTTAAGTATTCAGCCGAAAACAAACAAGCCTAATTTCGGGCCTCTTTTACTTAGCTCATTAATGAGCAGCCCTTTTGTGCAGATACTTCCGTTTATGTTTACTGATCGTTCAGGAAGCTTTAACCGTTAAAATAAATCGCAGTTTCTAGCGTTGCATCCGATAAAATACTAGCCACTCTTAAAATTAAAAGCACTTCTAGCCACAGATGTGGTAAATTGCCATGTTGTAGAGTGCAAAATAATTTTCGCAACTTATTCAAATAGATTTCTGTCATCTAGACCGCTTGGTACATTTTATCGCTGTAGGTATGTTGGACATGCCCAAAATGCAGAGTCTAAATAATATATATCAGACGAAACCGGTAAATGCCTTATACGTCAGAAGTCCTAGCGCAGAAGCCCCACGTATCCACTTCTGCTTGGCTGTATTACTAACCTGCAGTAAGTTGTAAAAAAATAAGGAAAAAAATGTGAATTGCATTTTTACACCATTTTTTTTGGCAATTAAATAAGAGTTTTGCCATAGACTTTTCGGCACCATGCTGTAACACCACAAAGTTCCGTGGAGCAGGCTTGGCTACTTTGCCTCACCCTACGATGGGCTTATAGGTCAGAGCCACGGACCGCCAGGTTCAATCATGTTCCACGCTAAAATCTTACATACTTAACATTGATTGGGGATTAACGAATAATGTGCAGTGTCATTCCAATAGGTTTGACACTGCAAAGAGCCTGTAGGTATGTCGTAAGTTTATTTGCAATGTAAAATTTGTGAATGACTCAGTGCTATTTGAACCGAACCACTGTTCGCCCATCCCCTTCAGTGATCCGAGATGCGGGCACTGATACGTACATCGAATCAAAATACCGCACAGTTTCTAGGTGGCTTGCAATCGGATCTGGCAGCCCGCAGCTTTGGCCTTAAGTCCGTTGTAGGGTGAGACGAAGTATAGCTAACCCCCCCCCCCCCGCCCCCCACAAATTAAGGGAAGAGTTGACAAGCATTGTTTAGGCACACCTTTGGTTATTTCACATGTTTCTTTTTTATCCACTGCAGATCCCTGGAGTTCGATATTTCTGCTGCCCTATGTGAAAGTGAAGGATATTCTCTCTCGGGTCACTTTTTCGTCATTTTCATGCTAAACATGGCCATGAAGGAAACTGGACTTGCGGACTACAGGGCTGCTTCCGAACATTTCCCCTCTATGTGTCGCACAGAAAACATGTTACTCGTAACCATGCCATGTTGCTCAAAGATGATGCTACTGCGGCTCCCAATGAACCCGATGGTGCCAGGAGCAATCCACACCTGATCCTGGCAGACGTCAAGGACAACGAGGAATCTTGCAATGAACAACACATGCAAGACGATGGGGACCTAGTAAAACCGCTTTCACTACTCTTCCTAAAATGGAAAGAGAGAAGACGGCTTCCTGAATCCACAATGAACGAAATTGCAAACGACATTATATTTTATCTTGAAAGATTTGCCGAGCATTGCAAGCTGCCAATATCTGATCTGAATACGCTACTGCAGCAAAAGTCCCAGACCTTGGTTGATTTGGAGCAACTCCAAACTAGGAGTGGCCGGAATCGCCACTGGAAAGAACGTTTTTCATTTGTGCAGCCGGAGACTGTGGTTCTGGCGACGGATAAAGATGGAAAGGTCGACACCTTTCAATATGTTTCTGTGTGCGAAATGCTGAAGTGTACCCTTGAAAACCCCAGTGTGTGGAATGATTTTTACAATCAGCCTGTGGAGGAAGGTTACTTGACCACTGTTTTCAATGGAACTGCCTACCGTGATCACAAATTCTTTCAATGTGACAGAAAGAAAATCTGTGTACAACTATACAGCGACGAGTTTGAGGTGTGTAACCCACTTGGGAAAAAAAGGGGCAAGCATAAACTGACCGCTGTTTACTACTCGATTCTAAACTTTCGCCAAAAGTTAAGATCTCGCTTGTCTGGAATACATTTTGCACTGCGGGTGCATGACAAGTTTGTAGCGTCGTATGGCCTGCACAGAATATTTGCTCCACTTGTAAGAGACATATCACAACTCAAGAAAAAAGGCATTTGTAGAAATGGCGAGGTGCTCTATGGCTCGGTTCTTGCAATGACTGGAGACAACCTCTCCAGTCACAGACTTGGAGGGTTTAAATGTAGTTTCAGTCATGGTTGAATTTGTAGATTTCGTATGGCCCTCCGTCATGAAATTTCTGGCAAGCATCTTGAGCAAGATTTTGTTTAGCGAAGTCCTTCTGGATATAAACACCATATTATTATTAAGGTCTGGGGCACCAACTAGTTCCCTTTATAGAGTGCGGGCTCCCTGTGGCCCGACCGTCTCTGGCTTTGAGCCAACCGAGCACTTACCTCCTGATCTAATGGATGAGATGCTTGTAGGTGTCCCAACATTTGTAACGAGGCATGTAATTTCCCACTTGATGTCTCATAATTTTTTTACTCTTAGTGCACTGAATTTGTGTATTCTTAACTTCGACTATCCACCGTATGATGCCAGAAACAAACCCGAGGAAATCTCAAGCTAGTACTTAAAGGGCAAATAAAAAATCAGAGGAAGTGCGAAGTGCTTCGCCGATACTCTGCTTCTTCAGACATTTTTTCTTTTGTATGGTGGGATGTGCATTCCATTGAGAAATGAGGTTTGGGGAACATACTTGTTGCTGAGAAAGATTGTTGACATTGTCATGAGCCGCAGGATTCCTCTTACCTTATCTTATCTGCCTTACTTTCAGCGTCTGATTCACTTCTTTCCAGATTTTCAGGCACTGTTTCCACGCACACCTGTCCCATGCAAGTTGCATTACCTGATACATTACCCTTCATGAGTGTACAGGTATGGTCCCCTCGTTAGCTTGTGGGCAATGCATTTGAGTCGAAACATCAGTATTTTAAGGATGTTGCTCGGAAAGTTCGGAACTTCAAAAATATTAACTACACGCTAGCTGCGAGGCATCCGTACCTGGAAACTTACCTTGCCACGCAAGTAAGCAGCGAGAACACAATTGTCACAACAGGCTGTAAGCCCATCTTGTATGAGCACCTGCCGGAAATGGTCCGTTTGCACATTTCGGAGCATGACCTTGCGAGGGATACTGCATTTGTTTGGACGTCTGTTGGCATTGATGGTTTTGTATATACAAAGCGTAGTGCACTCGTTCAAAGTGCAAGTGAAGGTGAACATCCTGAGTTCGTGCAAGTATGTGAGCTCTTCTCTGTGAACCGAAGTATTTTGGTTCTCGCACTCCTGCTCAAAACCATTTAATTCGGTGAACATCTTCATCTGTATGTTGTGCATGTGACTGCAGACTCCGTTGTTTTGGGTGACCTCCATAACTTCCAAACTAAGCCATTGTTTGTTAAGGAAAAAGTGAGCAAACATGTCATTAATCTGCGTCATGGTTTGTTTTGGGCGACACATCGCACCACCTAGCCCAAAATATTTGCAGCACTGAGAGAGCCATTTCGTCATCTGTGCTAGAGCGTAAAGCTGTTGAAGCATTGCTTCGTCGTCGTTAATTAATAAGTTGTCTGGTTTTCCTGACTTTCACTATACCATCAGCTGTCGCGTGCGATCCCGGATTACTCCGCAGAAGACCAAGCGTCGAAGCGTTCGGTATTGTTTCCTGAAGGGTTGCTCCAACCAAGAAGGCCTAGCTGGCATGAAGCTCCACAGGTTCCCGTCGAGGCCCTGGGAATAGGAACGCAACCAGAGAGGGATAAGTGCCGTAAGACGTGTAAGGTAAGTACTCCGGGTATATTGCAGAGATCGAGACTTATTTCTATCTGTCTTTTTTACTTGATTAGTTATGGCGGCCAAAGTGCGGCGGTGTAATTATCATCTAGTATGTTCGATTCCACGGACTTCCCAGAGTCAGGTTCATGCTGTTGACCATGCCGTCTTCTCGGCGGACGAATATTGTTCAAACAACGTTTTGAGGACAGTTGTGCCAATGTTTCGCGGAGCCTTTCCTGGAACTACAAATTGTGAAAATTTTCCGGGCATGAGCTCACCCGAAGAACTGCTTCACAAGGTGGCGCTTCGCCAGGCCAAAACCTGTTTCAATTCCAGTAATGTGATCGGAGAAGCACACATTCTCTAATGTGCACGAACCGCTGCGGACCTGTGTCAGTGAAGTCTTCGATTGAGCAGCTTTCAGCGAAATGTTTTCCGTTACCTTCTTGCTTGCACTGAACTTAAGTGCTTTTAAAATTCAGTTTTGTAGAGATTTCAAACTTCACAATTGAATTCCGAACTTGACTCGGCTGTTAATTCAGAAAGTGACGAGAAAAGTAGTATACCACACAAAGCACCAGTTTAAATGGGCATAGCCTGTATACCCTGCCACCACCTAGATATCATTCGGGTTTGAAACTGATTCTTGCGATTCTTGCATCCACTACTTCAGAGATGAATATGGTTTAAACTGGATTCCGAACGAGGGCTCCAGGAAATGCTCATTTCCTGAAAAACAAACTGAACAATACCGAGAACCACACTGGTCTCTACCCAAGGCTGTTCCCAGAAGTGTGCAGAGAGACGTCTGTGGATCCTGAGGCCCAAATGGAAGGTTCAGCAGGTAAATGTTGACTCCGATCACCTCTGGTTTGTTGCTCGATATGTGTATGGTGGTATCTGTGCACCGGCTTGTGTGTTTGCCGGCATTTTTATGGCTGCTTGCTCGCTCAACAACTTTTAACACTGTTGGAAGCTATATTTACGAGGAATGTTTGAGAGGTAATAGACCTACCTTGCGAAGGAGCTGCCCCAAATAAATGGCACTGGAAAAATCTATTTAGTTCTCCTTGAGCGTTACGCACTTTACGGGTCATGTTCCAGTATATCCAATTCATAAAGAGAATAAAATGCAACGGTGCGAAATCTGGTAAGTACGATGGGTGGGACAACAGTCAAAGTCACATTCATGAATCCCCTGCATAGAGGCGCAGGTAATTTGTCAGAGAACATTGCCTTACTCCCACCATGTTCAAAAACAGAAACGACGGCAACATGTCATTTCTGTTTTTTGAGTCGCAGGTCTTTTAGAAGACGACAGAGTAGACAAAGAACGGGACAGCAGCATGTTGTCGTGTCTCTTTCTCTAGTTGCAGATCCTTCAGCAGATAAGGGAGAGTAGACATGAAGTGCGACGGCAGCAAGTTGTCGTTTTCTTTCTTTGAGTCGCAGTTCCTTCATCAGACGACAGAGAGTAGATAAAGAACGAGACGGCAGCATGTTGTCGTGTCTACTTCTCTAGTCTTGGGTCCCTCAGCAGATGAGGGAGAGTAGGCAAGGAGTCCGACGGCAGCATGTTGTCGTTTCTGTTTCTGAAGTTGTAGGTCCTTCAGCAGATGTCAGGGTGTAGATACAGAAAGGGACTGCAACACATCACATCGTCGTGTCTTTTTCTCGAGTCGCAGGTCCTTCAGGAGATAAGGGAGAGTAGACACAGAACGGGACAGCAACATGTCATTTGTTTCTTGAATCACAGGTCCTTTAGTAGACGACCGGGAGTGGACACTGAACAAAACGGCATGTCGTCGTTCGTTTCTTAAGTCGCAGGTCCCTCAGTAGACAGAGAGTAGACAGAACGTGACGGCCGCAAGTGGTCGTGTCTGTTTCTCGAGTTACAGGTACTTCAGCAGATGAGGGAGAGTAGACACAGAACGGGACAGCAGCATGTCGTCGTTTGTTTCTTGAGTTGCAGGTCCTTCAGTAGACACGGAACGGGGTGGCAGCACTTCGTTGTGTCTGTTTCTCTACTCCCAGGTCCAGCAGCAAATGAGGGAGTGTAGCCACGGAGTCCAACGGCAGCACATTGTCGTTTCTGTTTCTCAAGTCGCGGGTCCTTCAGCAGACGTCAGAATTTAGATACGGCATGGAACGGCAGCGCATCGTTGTTTCTGTTTCTCTAGTTGCAGGTCCTCCAGCAGACGAGGGAGCGTAGACACAGAGTGCGACAGCCAGGACGTTGTTGTTCCTGTTTCTCGAGTTGCAGGTCCTTCAGCAGACGACAGAGAGTAAACACAGAACGGAACGGCAGCACGTCGTCGTGACTGTTTCTAGAGTCGCAGGTCCCTCAGCAGACGAGGGAGAGTAGACACGAAGTGCGACGACAGCTTGTCGTCGAGCGCTGGCTCACTTCGTGATTGAGCTACCACTCGAGTGCTTCACAACCCATGTCCTGTTCATCTGAGTCGCCTGTGCTTGAGTCTTCGCCAGTCTCAATAATTAACCTGTCCGTGACGAGTGCTGCGAGTCAATCGTCTGCCTCCATTCGCTCCTTCACTCTGGCAGCATGGTGTAAATAGCTCGACCAGTTTTCAGCAGTAAGTTGTTGGTGAGCGCCTGGGGCCAGCGCTTAAACATCTGCAAGCTTGAAGCTGATATTCCGGCTCAATATGTAGCCCTGTACTTGGCTCGACACCAGCTCGATAGGGTTCTGCTCAGTGGTATGGTGGCAGACGAAGTACCACATGCTCATATTGTCCTGCTAATGGATTGACTCAGCGTTATTCGAGTTTACGTCTTGCGGCTTTCTCAGTGTTAACAAGATTCAGCAGCTCGGCTTTTAAAATTGTCGGGCCCCAAGCGATTCCAAGCGTTTTAGAGCGCAGCTCTTAGGTGCCCGTTTCTGGCTTGAGCGGCATCGCCGTCGCCGTAATTGTGAGGTCACGTGACCCCTGTGAGCTCACGTGACCACCATGAGGTTACCTCACCCCCCTGAGGTCACGTGACCCCGGTGACGTCGCGTGACCCCGTGAGGTCGCGTGACACCCGTGAGATCGCGTGACCCTCGTGAGATCGCGTGACCCCGTGAGATCACGTGACCCCGTGAGGTCACGTTACCCTGGTGATGTCACGTGACCTTGGTGATGTCACACCAACCCCGTGAGGTCACGTGAACCCCGTGAGATCACTTGACCCCCGTGAAATCACGTGACCCTGTGAGGTCACATGACCCCGTGAGGTCAAGTGACCCCGTGAGATAACATGACCCTGGTGATGTCACGTGAACCGCGTGAGGTCACGTGTCCCCCATGAAGTCACATGAGCCCCGTGGGGTCACGTGACCCCGTGATGTCACGTGACCCCCGTGATGCCACGTGACTCCCGTGAGTTCAGGTGACCTTCGTAAGGTAAGCTGACCCCGGTGC